TCTACAAGAGCTGGCTAAGTCCTGATTACCAACCAATAACAGCAAAAACTTTTATCAGCTCCGGTGCATTGGTAGGGAGAGACTATTTTTGGAATCCAACGGTCATGCTGAGGGCGCGTATCATCTGTTCTCTCTACGTTACCTGCTGCCCTGTAGGCCGCTGATGTTTGTGCAAAGGTTATCCTGGTTCAGAAGCCGCGACCCGTCACAACTCTTAATGAGACTGCTGATAGTGTGAGTAGACATCAAGGCAATATCTCTCAGGAGTATAACAAACGAAAGGCCTCACTGTGCCAGGAAATCAGAGCAGACTTACAGCAAAGAGACCAACCAGAAGTCGGTTCAAATCTCGTTCGGACAAGTACTTATCCCCCATTTGCAAACTATTATTAAAGTGGCCTGTGTGCCTTTTTTAGCGAATAGCGTACTGACCCAACTTCAAAGAAAAACTAATTATCCATTCACACACAAACGGTAGCAATTAGATAATTTGCATAAGATATGAAGCATTGTACTGAACGGTCCAATGAAATTTCCGGGGTCACTCATGTATACCAGCTATGGATGTCCGTAGCATTCGATGTACAGAGGAGAATGTTGGTAGCTCAGGTTGTTCACGAATTCAAACCTGCACAATATCCGTGAAGATTGTCAGGCATGTCTTGATTAGTTTGAGCTTTCGGGATCAAGATGGCTCAGTAGTTAAGGCGCAGGCTTACTGACCGGAATTTCCATGGTTCTTGCCCGACCTCTTCATATTGATCGTCCTTGTCTCGGGTTGGGCAGCCTAGAGGTATTGCGACCCTTGTGCCGCCTTCGGGTGACTTTCTTGGAAAGCTTGGAAGCTACTGGTTCCATTCCTTCCATCGAAATAACTCGATTTCCGTAAGGTATCGGCAATACGAGATAATCCATATGTGCTTCGCTAACTGTACAGTAAACTTTGGTTTCAGATCAAAGCAGTTATTCTTCTGTGGGAAACTTATCCCAACACATGTATAACAAAGACTNTAATTAGGTTTTCTCTGACATTTATGGATCACAATTTATTTTATCTAGGTTTATGTGAGATATTCTGGGGAAATTGTGGTAAACGCCGCTCCCAAGCAAAGGGCTTATAATGTTCAGAGTCAAGCTCTTTCTTTTTATCCAGGTACTCGAGCATACTCATTGCAATTCAGCTGACATATTTTCACTCTCATCAATATTTAATTTGTCGCGCTTCAGTATAATGTATGCTTTCTGAGGATAACGCATTCTTCATCAAAGTGATTATATCACTCGACATTCAGAGTATGCTCAGAGTATGTAATGGTTGAGACCTTCCGCTTTCGAATATGTTTCTGTAGGTGTTCTTAAGCTGACCCTTGCTACACTCACTCTTCTTGCCTAACTAACAGTATGTTTATCTACTTTCAGGGAAGGTGTCATGTGCCGTGTGCCGCAAGCGGTGTAAAGGTGATATTTTAAAAATCGAACAACAGTTTGTTCACCACAAGTGCTTTCAGTGTACAAGTAAGTTCAGAAGCCGGGGTCTTCTTCTACTCACCTCTCTTCAGAATGTCATAAAAATTTGCAACAAGGCGGATTTTTTGTGCGCGACCAGCGGTTCTATTGTCCAGATGATTACCAGGCCAACTTTGGAGTCAAATGCCAGGCATGTGGATCATTTGTCGAGGGTGAAGTGGTCACTGTACTGGGAAAGACGTTTCACACACATTGTTTTCGATGTTCAGCTTGCCGGTGGGTTATTCTTTTTCATTCGAGTACCTAGAGCTTCGGTGTCAAACTGTTTTTTGATTAGTCTCCAAGATGAACCGAGGAAAGACGTTTCACACACATTGTTTTCGATGTTCAGCTTGCCGGTGGGTTATTCTTTTTCATTCGAGTACCTAGAGCTTCGGTGTCAAACTGTTTTTTGATTAGTCTCCAAGAAGAACCGAGTGGCTCTTTACTGACCGGAAGGTCCGTGGTTCGAACCAGACCTCTGCCACTCGACTTCCCCTGTCTGGGCTTGGGCGACCTGACAGTATCCCAGCCCTCGTGCCGCTTTCGTGTGGCATGGCAACTAGGCACTGAAAAGGTGCTAGAGCTGGACGATTTAAAGTCGCCATCGGATTCGGCACTTTGTGAAGGAAAAAACATTGATTACAGTAAAACCATTAGCTATCCAACAAATGTTGGCATCTTCATAATAGTAGCCGCAACCTTTCTACCGGTTGAACTGCCATTAGGCTGTCCCGCGGCTTTCGGTTAATGAGAATCATGTAACAGCTCAATTTATCCGCGAGTGACTTACTCGAACCAGCCCGGGAGACATAACCGCGTTAAGTCATCACCATCGTCCTCCTCCTTCTCCTCCTCAATATCAGAGACAACAACATCAGTACTGACAGTGGCGCTTCATTGTCGTACATCTACAAAGTTCGTTTTATCGTATTTAGAACCTTAAAGCGACAAGAAGAGAACAGAGTGGCCGAGGGAGAGACCCAATCCCATAACCCCGCGTAGAGACTAGCAACTAAAGAGGAGAAATTCTGCCCTCTTTGCTGGGTATTTTATTCTTGGACGGAAGACGGAGATGGTTGCAAAGGAAATCCCAGCTGATAGGGAACAGTACTATGGAGTTTCAAGTGTCAATCTCGTGGGGAACGCTGAACTGACGCGAAGTGGTAGTGTTGGATAGATGGGAACAGTTGGAAACTTCATTCTGATCGGGTGATTCGGAAACGCGTTTGGTGGCCAGGAGTGGCCGATACCTGCTCTCACCCTTGACAAGCCATGTTCCTACCACGATTGAGGTAGCTTAAGGTCCGAAATGCAATCTATGGCGTATATTCACCCTGTTTTTCGGTGTCACATATCTAAGCTTAGACAGTTAAGAAGCTTCTTAGCTTTCGTTCCCTTTTAAATTAGCATTCCTCCGTCGAGCGATAGTGGTTGTGCCATTGGCCCGTGAGTTTACTGTCGCTGCTTCAGAATGTAAACTTGTTTAATGCATGGTTGGGAGATGGAATGACAGTGGGGACCTGGGGTCACTTTGTTCCGTCCCGCAGACCGTACCGTTGGTTAATGTTGGTTACTGTTGGTTAATGTTAATGGTTGATAATGTGCCAGAAAATTTGAACAGTTTCTGCTGAATCACTTCCCAACATGATCCAGTTTGTTCGTAAATAAGAATGCGAAAAACAATATAAAAAATCGTTCAGCTGTAGCAGCCTTTCGGTGCCTAACTGCCATGCCGCCCGAAGGAAGCACGAGGGCTGGGATACTGCCAGGTTGCCCGGGCCTAGACGGGGGAAGTCGAGAGCACCCTTCGGTCAGTAAATTCGCACTCTAACCAATGAGCCACCGTGGCCCCAAGAAAATGCGAACACTCTGGTAATTGATTTCTGTTCGGTTTTGGTGAACTGGGATGTTCGAAAACCACATTCAACTTTACTGGTTACTCCTGGTACCGAAACTATCTACTAATCTACTTGCTTCACCTTACAGCAGACCACTTGCAGACCTAGTAGTACAACACCGCGTTTGACCGTTTTGAAACAAGTTTTGAATGTGGGTGAAAACTGAACTTTCCTATAACCATTTAGTCCCACCTCTCGGTTGAATTACAGACAACCATGAAAAATACCATAGGTCGTGAACATGAGGGAGATTAATGCAGTTTTTAGTTAACGTAGAGAATTCTGTAAAGCATTTTGTGCTCAATTGCTCAATGAAGCTACGGGACTTTCCATGTGCGTCTCAGTTCACAAACCTCCAAAATGCATCCCCGAATAGCCCACCGGCGCAGGTCTAATCTGTTCAGTAAAGGTTTATTGCACGGAATTCATGCTTGGTTGCACACGCACAAACACACTTTCAGGTCGGTCACCAAGTGGACTCTTCCACTGAGTTAAATGCTAATCGGCCATTCTCTTGAGTCAAGCGTGAAAAATATCCGAATGTCGATAATCCAGGCTAGTTTCATAGAATTTACTGTGAATTTTTATCGAGTTACGGCAAGACAGTGAAAACCAACTATACTGCATTCATTAACGGAGGGCTGTAATAGTTGGCCAGTTTGCTAAGAGAATTTGAGTTTCGCACTTTATCGTATGTACTGTTGTCTGTGTGATGATAAATCTGGGGACAAACAATTAAACAACCTAAGAGAAGGTGAAACAGTCAATGGCAAGTAGCCACAGGTTGATTTCATAACCACAAAAGAATCGCACACTACCGGTTTAAATCAAGGACGTTCAACGATATAATTAGGAATTTACTTCGAGATTGATTTTTCACACAGGATCAACTAAAGTTTGGATAATAGGGTTTACAAATAGACAACGTATTTGTTGTCAAAAGAGCCAGTTGGTTATTCGCAATACTGGGGTTTTGGTCGGCATCTTCGAAGTAAACTTCACTGCAGTGGTCCTGACGGGAGATCTCTGTTGCGGGTGGGCGCTTTAACGGTCTCCTTCCGAAGTTATTTTGAGTTGTCACATCATCATTGAGCCAAATATTGCTTTCCAGTTCCGAAGCACACTGTCCCGACACGTTGAGTTGCAGCAGGAGGGTTATCAAAGATGGTCACCAAACAAGTGAATATCATCATCATCATCATTGTCAGCTGTAATAACCGCGTACTTGTCGTACAGTGGTTGAATGATGAATTGCTTTAATTGAGTAGGCGCGCTTCATGAGGAGTCAATGGGGATGATAAACCATACTTTTGATCACTTGTATGACATGATGACAACCTTATCATTGCTGAGAAGATATTCCTTGCACAAACGAATTTCAGTCAGGTGAACAACCGACTGAGGTGCACCCGGGCACTGTCGAACGGACGCTGTTGTTGATATTCACCATGCGGCTATGTTTCAGCATTTTACACCCCTCTAGCTACGGATTACTTTTGGTCACACTTACTATTTTCACTTGCTTTTACCATGCATTTCAATTTCTCATTGGTTTCGAGGCTTTTATATTTACCTCATTTGTATACTTTTCAGTCGACTGTTTTCCTCTGGCGAACGCACAACCATTGTTAGCAATGATTATTATTGCGTTTCTTGCGCCGGTCGCTTTACCAATGGACTTCGGTCGTCTAGTGACGCATCTTCTCGCGGGTCCCCGTCCAAGCCACAGGGTAGGTATGACGGATTTGGTAGGATCTCCTCTGTCTCTCCCACATTGACATGGACTATGCAGCCCACAGCCCACCAGGGGCAGGTGAACAACACTCCCATTGATCACGCACTACCGCCACAACCGAATGGTGGTCCTGATCACGCGACCTTGAGTAATGGTCTGGATGGTGCGTATCCGTTTGTGGATGGTCAACTTACTGTGCAAATAACAGAAAACGGTTACGCTGGTGAGTACCCTTTTAGTTCTATTATTTTTGCGTCACCTTTCTGTCTTCTCCTGATCTACTACAATTCGTTCGGCAAAATGGACTTGCAATTTTCTGACGAGTGTCAGTGTGTCAGTTTAGATACCATGGTGCTCAAAACGGGATCCGTCATAATATCCTCTTGTCCGGAGTACGGAGAGCTGTTGTACCGGTTACGGAGCTAGCTAAGTGGTTATGATTAGTTGATTACTTCAATCCTTATCATCTGTTAACGACTGCATCCGCTTCCAAAATTTGTACACTGTTTCGAAAGCGTCCAATACGATATTCTGTTTCACTTCGGAGGATTGTTGGCGCCCTTTTTATTGGACAAAAAGACGATTTTCTTTGAAAGATGTCCTTGAACTATTTATCATGAATGAAGAATAGTCTTGTTCGTTACATTTTACTCGCACCTGTTTGTTATCGGGCAATCCGTCATGCTTCATTGCTTAACTGCTGACACAAAATCACTGTTCCTCTCTTACGTACTCCGTAAAACTTTATTTCCCACATTTTCGTCAGCTAAAACTGGAACGACATCCGGAGGGTTTGGTTAGGTCTGTGTTACTCCATCGAATGTAGAGGTATCATCGTCCCCGCATGCAACTTGTGCATGTTCACAGTAACGGAACTGTTGAATGCGCATCCATGGTCACGAAAGCGCTCCTGGCTCTTGCGTGGTGAATATGTTGTTTTCAGTCTTAGAGGTGATGCCCATTCCGTACACCCTGCTAGTGTCTACGTGTCAATCAGCAGGTCGAGCGGCCAATCATGTGACCGTTCAAGGTCACCCCGTTCAGCTGTGCTACGTCAGTGTAGGCAGATTTCGAACGCCGGTGTGTTTAGTTCCAAGGATTTATGTCACTCTTGTTAGGCGCGATCTGATGGTTTCCATGGGAGCTTCCTTTTACTGTTGGCAGATTACGCAGACCACGCGCGTGATAACCGCTTGTCCGTTCAGATTTTGCAGCACAACAAATGACCTTTTTGTTGGTATAAGTTTGGGATTCCCAGTCCCATTCACTGTCATTAATCCGGACTTCAAAACCGATGTCCACAGGTTTTTGACAGTTGTTTTCCATAAGTCGCACACGGTAACAGACACTACAACACTGGTCGCCTGTATCAGTTAAACATGAATATCGCACGGCCACCTGTCCATTTAATTGATTAACTTGGTCAATAGTGCGCATCTGTCGGTCTCAGCTGAAATCAATCGATTGGTATCTTAGTAACGGAAGTATTGGGAACGTGTTACAGTTTTTCCCCTTGGTCTCAAGTGGTACAGATGGTGGCCTGAGCTGCCCCACGATCAGCTATGACCTATTTTAGGCTGGCGAAAATTTTTGATTTGTTTTTTGAATTGTAAGGCTTTCTAATTACATGTTTTTAGCCTGCTTCGTGCCATCGACCATGTGGCGATAATAGCACAGTTGTCCCATTCTTTTTTGGGAGTCATCAGCGTGTAATTCTCACGAACTCCCGGGCGACTCGATCCCGCAATTTTCATGGTGACTATCGAATACCCAGGGCGGTATGGTTTACTTCCACTCGGCAAGGATACGGCACCCCTCTAGTCCAACCAGTCATCATCATCATCGTCATCATCATCATCGACGGCATGAAATCAGTGTTCAACACCGATACTTCACTGCCGTGCCGTGAAGTAACCAGTACAGTAACCAGTACAAATATTCAGCTGTAAAACCCTTCCGGTGTTTAGCTACCATGCCACCCGAAGAAAGCCTGAACAAGAGCGGTCGGGATGTCAGGGTCGGGTTCGACCCACGGACGTTCCGGTAAGTAAGTTTGCGCCTTAACCACCGAGCTATCTAAAGCTCGGGGGTGAGATGGCCCAAGTGGTTAGAGCGCGAATTTACTGACCAGAAGGTCCGTGGTTCGAACCCGACCTCTGCCTCTCGACTTCCCCTGTCTAGGCTTGGGCAACCTGACAGTGTCCCAGCCCTCGTGCTTCCTTCGGGATGCATGGCAGCTAGGCATCGAAAGGGTGCTACAGCTGAACGATTTTTTTTATATCTAAATCTCAACCAGGTGGGCCATGCCCTGACTTCTCAGGGCGTGTTTGCAAGTTTCTTTGCACAACCGCCTTTATTGAGTCCTTCCACTCTGGCCCTTCTACAGGCTGCTTGTACGGTTAATGCTTTACCAACTGTAAGCTGCTTGAAAGACAGTAGTGGCTGTGCGCGAAATGCGCTCATTTGTGTACTAGTGTGGCTTTTATCGAGAGACTCAACTGAATAATCTCTCGTTTATACTTAGCCCGAAGAACGGCGAAACCTGCCATGGTCTGTCTAAAGGTTTCCAACTGCCTGAGGAGTAATACGTTCCGTTTACATCAGCTCTGGTTTGGCTCTGTGTGCCGTACTGAACGTATCTGTTGTCCCGACGTTCTCCTTATGGACCCATCCGTTATTAGAGGGCATAATTACTGGTTGGGATCAATATATTAATCCGTGCTATCTTCAGACCACTCCAGCTCCAATGCTTAATCAACGTATGCAACCATTCCGGATTCCGGGCCGTCACACTGACCCGTTCGTTATCTGATGTCTTGCTCAAGCGTACATTTTAGTGACAATAATCCGATGTTCAGTGGCGCAACCGTGGCACAGATCATTCGGGTATCATGGTACAGCATTTTTGGTTTGACTTATTGTTAACGCACTTCGTCCGAATTACGCGCCAGGGTTAACAGTCATTGCGAAGGAGACATAGTAGGCATGGCTTAATCAAATGTACCTAACTATTAACTTGCAGCGTGCCATTTTGACAGGCGTGGAAGAATGCGCACTTAAGTGGCAATTAATAACAACTATCCATAAGTAAGCGTAACCATGCGAAATCATAGCGAAGAAGGTGACAGGTGCAATGGTTTGACGCCAGGACGATGAAGCCAACGACCTGACTGTCATCTAGGGTACGAAAATGATCTCAATGATTGAAGGGGATTGTTTGTTCTAGGGGTTTCGTCCGCACCAAATTCACGGCGTCACCTGTTGTACGTTTCAGATCGATTTAAATGTCATTGACCGAGGCAGTTGTTTAATGATGGACGATAGCTGTAAGTCTCAACTGAGACGTCAAGGAAGGTGGTTAGGTGACAGCATGACTTGCACTTGTGTCAGATAATTTTTTCGCTTTTTTGTGTTCCTCACTAGTTCCTGGAACCGTATCCATTACGTGTAATGAGGTTTTACCTCTTCTTTAAAGATCGAAAATTGGAAATTCGATCATCCATTGTCCGTATTTCGGTCAAGAACTTGAATCGATTCAGTTTTCTTCGTTTGCACGCGCGCGCACGGAAACTTCGCCTTGTTTTTCGTGTCAAAGTAGGCGCCGCAAACGTGTGTGATCCTAACCGGGGACAATAGCCATGCTCGATTCCACTCTGTTGCGTTGTTGTTTATATGTGTGGCATACCAACATACATTCGCTCAAGCACATGTTTGTTTCCGTTTTGTTCTTCATCCCACTGTCGTGGATTTCCACGCATGATGAGTGACCCTTCCAAACTCCTCAGGCGCACACATTTTCTCCGCATAGTTGAGGTTACCTCAGTCTTGGACATTGCCCCCATAACTTTCCTTGACTTATGGCACGGGTGAATGGCCGAAGGAGCACAATGTCATGTGCAGTTCATCATTACCTTGTTGGCCTAGATGAATACAACTACCATGTTGGTCGGATTCTTTCCACATAGTCGTTTGTCAGTTCGATTCGGCTACCCGAATTGCGTAACCTGACTGCCATCTTCGCCGAACGAATTTGTCCGCACGTTCAGGTACATCCTCGCGCACTTCGGCTGCTTAGTTCTTTTCTCCTAATCCGAAGATTGTTGGCTCCCCGTTGACCCCTAGTTATCGAGCTGCTCCATTCTGTTCATTGTCCTATACTCTTTTTGAGTTTACGAGGCGTGTTCTAATTGTTTCATAAGCGAACCGCCTGCGTGAGCGCTAATCCTGCGTGGGATCCATTAGCGTAGTTAGTTCTGACGGGTACATGATGTTAGCCCATCGAAAACGAAACGCCTTGAATGTCTTGGATATCTACGTGGGTCTCAAGGTGGGTAACAGTTCTTGCTTGGTGTTTACTTTTGGCTACCATTCGCTGTGACCTAGCAAACATTATCAGTCGAGAAGAAGAAGTCTACTACCCTTAACGGCCACAGATGCAAGTTGTAAATCAATTGCGACAAAAATGAAGGAATTGACTACCCTACTGTTATCTTGTACTTAATTACTTAGAGATTTCAGTTACCCATACCTTTGGTTAGATCAGCGGAGAACCGTTTACGGAGTGTTGGGATAGTTTGGGCGCTATGAGTTGCCGGTTCACTGTAAAAATATTGAAAATTACACTGCCCCTTTATTGAATGGAACAAGCGTACGTTTCAATCGTGAACTTTTTCATGGAACAAATAACAGAGACAGCGCTAACTAGGGTGAAATCACGTGAGTTGTGATTGATGGGTTGGGCACGTGTTTATGCTGGTGGCTATGTCCTCAGTGGTTCACCAATAAACCTGAACTTAGAGCTGGTTCGGACGGTTGCGCGACTGTCCAAGCACATAACTCGGCAACAGGCTTGTATTAAGGGCGCAATCAAACCAGGGAACTCATACAGTCATCTGCGCGATCGGCTGCGGTGATTGCGGCTGGATCAGGCAAGAGAATGGGAACCTGAGCACAAACGGCACTGTTGCACCGATTTAGGAGGTTTCTGGAAACAACCAGCGAACGACTAAGGGAGTACTTTGCATCCAACAGCTGAGGATCATTGGATCATTTTCGACATCATACACATCTGCCACAAGAGCAATGTGTCGAATCTCTCGTTATTTATTTGACTCTGTCCTCCGTTGACCAGTCTGATAAATCCGATTCACTGCCCATTCGATCTTGCCTACTTCTTGTCAAGGTCGCAACCTGACAACTTAATGCAGTTCGGAAGGCATCTTCCGTTAACCACTGACGGCGCGCGCGCACGCACGCACGCACGCACACACACACAAACGTACAGACTGACATGTGCACACACGCAACATAGGAACAAGCACATCATCCACATGAGTTGGTTGCCAGCAATCTCAGATCAGTTGACATCACACTAGCTAGCATTGTCTCTATGATTTAGGTCCCAGTCATGTGTCCTCTAAAAGTCACCACTTACCGTTGTTACCATCGTCGTTAGTGTTCTTCTGAACCAGACCATTTCTTCAGAAACCTGACTATTTACATCCTCCGATGTCTACCATCGGTCCAGTTTCAAGCATTCCTAGGGTGGTTTCATGACATCCACCATCAAACGAAGTAACCTACGGTAGGTGCGATAACCTAATCCATGTCGTCATTCAGTTCAAAATAATCAGCTACAAGTTGTGCTGCTTACTGTTGCAAGCTGTTTCATCTCTGTGGTTACATCTCGAACGTCTTCTATGCTGTTCGCTTTGCGGACAGCTGTTTTGCGGCTAATTTGCATGCAGTGCTATCCACCCAGGTAAAGCGTTCTACTTCTTTTTCTCGGTCGTTGGAGGGTTGGTTGCAGATGTCAAAGCTTTGTGCCCGAGCACTCAGAAGTATACGGCAGAAAGAGTGAAAACACTGGACAGTTTTCGAAGTCTGGATTGGTGCTTACCTTTTAGTAGGCAACGAATGCGCGGGCGTTCACTCACGCTGGTCGCAACGGGAATACTAGCTTCCATTATATTGTGACACCTACCTTGGGCGTGTGGAACGGAAGTCCTACAGCACCGAGCAGGATTACGACCTGGTGGAGGGTGCATTGATCATATCTTTGCTTATCGTCAGGTACTTAAACAGCATCACCTATACCACCGAACAACAGTCGATGTTTTCCCCTTCGACTCAGTTGATAGGCTAGTCCTCCTAAATATCCTTGACGAGAGAGGTGTGCTATTGGATTTCGTTTGCATTCTTTTTACCTTTTGATTTCCGTACCTCTGTTTGCCCTCGCTTCCAAGGTTTGCTAGTATGTTCCACTGTCCCGTTTTCCGGCGATCGACACTGTGGTAGCTGGAACCAATGTGCCTATGGCACACGGTTTATAGATGATAAATTGAATTGAATTGAAAGTGGATTTCGTAAGGGTTGTTCCCTTCTGTCATCGACATCATGGAGTGCACACATCAAGGAACTATGAGTTTAGGTTTCGAAAACATGTCTGGAGAGAGATTTGGACTGTGCAGACGACGTAGTTGTGTTGTTTGACGAGTATTTGTCCGAGCAAAATACATTAACTGGAATGTTGGAGGTGATCTCATGTTTTCGCACACATTATGCATCCTCATAATGCAAGGTCTTACTTCAAGATTTCCCATGCCCTTGTGCATCTGTGAAAATCCAAAATTAAGAGCTTGAGTTTGTTTATCGGTTCATTTATCTTGACAGATGAATAAGCCGTGATGAAGTTACTGCGCGGACATTCTAGACTTGCGTCACTTATGGTGTCAGAAGCGAATTTCTTTGAACCTAAATGGCCGTGTACAAGGCAACTTTAGGAGCGGTCCTACGGTATAGTTGTGGGGCTCAACTCCTCTGAGGTGTAGCGTAGCAAGATTTAGCTGGCTGGAGCGAGCCCTCAACGAGGGGGTGCGGAAACGGGTACCTGGAAGTTAATATGATTCCTTGGGGCAGAAAATTGAACTTGCCAGTTTGAGGTGGTTGGGGCATGCGCTACGTAAGCCAAACTACCGTCTACCGAAGAAAGCGTTGTTTTCTATTCCGGGCAATTGTTGGTGAAAGGTCAAGGGGGCCATGGGAACGTCATATTAAAGCGGCTATTGTCAAAATGAGTTCTTTGGAATTTTCTCGTCTTCCTAGCTGCGGCCTGCGTGACTCTGCTTGTAGGTGGTTGGAAACTTCAGGAAGTGGCGCGCAATATATCCCACTGGCCCGCATGGTGCCGGACCGGCATTCCCTAGCCGGGCTGCCTGGCTAAAGTTCTTCTGTCATTGTGCGCTGAACATAGGTCAAGCTCGCAAAGGAGGCTGGGTTGACCCTTCTGATGGTGCCTTACTTTGGCGTAATGCTCAGACGTATTTATTTCAATGATGTGGGCATTTTATCCTTGATCGTTTTCCTTTAGGGCATAAGGCTTCTTCGCAATAAGTCCCCATCCTTCCCATCCCTTCCCACTCTACTAGGGCTTTCTTTACTTATGTTTGTATAGCAGTTAAGCACCAATATGAATTATTGGTGTTTGCAGTCAAATGATGGTCGTGACGCCGATGCTGATAATGTTGATAAGGACCCAGTGGGTCGTTTATGGGGCTCACTCCAGCACCTACCATTGAACGGGAGCAACAGGAGTCACGTGGCCGTCTACCGATGAGAACACTGACTTTTGCCTAGCAGCACAACTGTTACCGCAATTACGCCACCAATCAGCCCACAAACGCTGGCTTGCTACAGAGCTCCGTTTCACAGTGACGCACTCGCGGAGTGATGACTTATTTTCAACCAAATTTCCTAGCTCAGCGAAGGCCTAGCGATCATGTATCTTGTCTGGGCTACCAATACCTGGTTTAATAATACTTGATACCTCTTCATTTTACTCTTGATGTCTTGAAGCCACATCACCACCTTGATGACAATTCTCACCATCATAGTACGAGGCTCAGGAGTACACCAGTACGCTGTTATCCATCCAGCTAGGTGCCGATAGGTTGCTTCTTAGTCATTGTGCGCTGAACATAGGTGAAGCTCGCAAAGGAGGCTGGGTTGACCCTTCTGATGGTGCCTTACTTTGGCGTAATGCTCAGACGTATTTATTTCAATGATGTGGGCATTTTATCCTTGATCGTTTTCCTTTAGGGCATAAGGCTTCTTCGCAATAAGTCCCCATCCTTCCCATCCCTTCCCACTCTACTAGGGCTTTCTTTACTTATGTTTGTATAGCAGTTAAGCACCAATATGAATTATTGGTGTATTGCAGTCAATGATGGTCGTGACGCCGATGCTGATAATGTTGATAAGGACCCAGTGGGTCGTTTATGGGGCTCACTCCAGCACCTACCATTGAACGGGAGCAACAGGAGTCACGTGGCCGTCTACCGATGAGAACACTGACTTTTGCCTAGCAGCACAACTGTTACCGCAATTACGCCACCAATCAGCCCACAAACGCTGGCTTGCTACAGAGCTCCGTTTCACAGTGACGCACTCGCGGAGTGATGACTTATTTTCAACCAAATTTCCTAGCTCAGCGAAGGCCTAGCGATCATGTATCTTGTCTGGGCTACCAATACCTGGTTTAATAATACTTGATACCTCTTCATTTTACTCTTGATGTCTTGAAGCCACATCACCACCTTGATGACAATTCTCACCATCATAGTACGAGGCTCAGGAGTACACCAGTACGCTGTTATCCATCCAGCTAGGTGCCGATAGGTTGCTTCTTATGATCTACTAACCATATGGTTGGCTAGATGGACCAAACCATGTCGGGCTGTCAGGTTAGTGATTATTAAATGATGACGTTCTGTCCGTTTGCTTGCTACACCTCCCGTAGAGTAGAACTGGAGCATTTCACCTGGTTATATTTTGTGCGTCGACACTATTCACTGCCATACTTTTGACAGTTGCGCTATAATCCCCAATTTGTCTCGCTTTTTCTCCTTTCACAGGTTCGGACTCGGATAAGCACAAGACAGGGGTAAGTATTGCCTTATTTTCGTCGCATGCACTCTTCGGTATAACTCCACTGGCCTCGCTTGCACAGTTTTCAACTGTACGGAGGTTGTGGGAACTACATCTCTCTCAGAGCTTGAGTTCTAGACGACCAGCCGACAGATGTATGGCTCTATTACTTTGTGGATTTGAGCACCCACCCTGCAGTACCCCGGCTCATATCCTTCTGCCGGGCTGCACGACAGCTGGACACTAAAATGTACTGATGTCAAGTCACCTGATTTTTCACTTTGGAGTTATTTTGTACGCACGAAGAACAACGGTCCCTATTCGCTGTGTTCCCACTTGGCTTGTTTTTCGAATTTCACTTATCAGCACTTGTCTGGTTGTCAGGACAAGTGTGTTTACGTTGGTTTTTCTGCTGTCCGCTCTCATCATCGTATCACCCGTGTTTTACCAACGTTAACACCAGCAGCATCGACGAAGTCGACTCTTACCAGGTACCGCAGACAACAAACCACAACTGATTCCCTGTTGACAACCTAGTCCACCGGAATGAAGCGACAACCACACACACACACACACACACACACACAGAAGCGCGCACAAACACACTTGCGCTTTTAGCCCGGGAATAGGGTAATCCAGCACCGAAATAAGTTGTAATGCACTCAACGGAGCGGAGAACGATCCATGCGCCTCACTTGCTTTCTGATTGTTGCAGTTCCCACTTATACTCTCTCCCTGTTTACCTTTGTTGATACTTGTTGATATCAGTCCACTGGATATATGTAATGAGATATCTGTTTGAATTCAGTTTTACGAGATCTGGGCTACTGAGCCAGTAGATTGCTGTATGGATTAGGGTTGTCTCATAAGCCATCAACCCTGTAAGCCTCTTTGTTACTTGACTTTGCCACTTTAGTATATCCTCTTGTACATAAAGTATCAATTAATTTGATCTTGAATTTAAGTGCTATGGTGATAAGTTCCCATTTGTCGAATTGCCTTCAATGATACCCAGTGACTTAGTCGTCTGCCATGGCGTCATCGAGTTCGATTTGCCCGCGAGTTGTGTGCCACTTGAAGTTTCAGACCAACTCACCTCTTTCACTCATCTCTTGGACAGAAAGGACACGGCAGCACAATATAACTCGACCGAGAGCCTGTGTTTGCTGCCATAATGCACTTTCATCGACGTTGACAACAATATACTCGTCTCCCCCAATGCGGACTACCTAGTCAGAGAGGCCTGTTTTAGGTCGAAGTATTTGTTTTCTTGGACGAGGAGAGAACAGGTCGAAACGCTAGTCTATTTCCACCACATCAACCATACTTCAAATAGTTGATTTTTCCGGAAGTCTGCTGTCTGTCTTTATTTTTTATTACTCGCCCTGCTCAGTCTCGTTTCCAATGTAATTCTCCCACGATGCCAAATAAGCGAAGGATTACTCATGAGACGTAATCTTAACGCAATCTTACCAAATGAATCATCCGCTTTGGGCGATTTCGCGTTGTCCACAAACTGGTCTCTCTAGCTGTCGTGTCCTGTTTCGCCTACCTCTGAGTTATTTAGCTGGTAATCTTCAGGATTCTCATCACTTTGTCTACAGTTAGGCGGTAACCCTAAGTTCCCTGACGAACCGATTTTCGTATATTGGTCAGTTGTCTCACTTCCATAGCCGGACGAAGTCCGACATTAAAAAGGGTTATGCTTCTTTTCGTATTCTTATGCGTTGGTGAAGTGCAATCGGTTTTCGAAACCGCATGAAACTAGCCTGAATTGTCAACATGTTACTTGCATTGACAGTATGTCATATATGCTTATGCTTAGAGAGTTCGATTGGCTCCACCAAATATGCCGATAGGACGAGCGAAGCGAGCTGACATGTGGCATTTCACACCAGTTGATTCCGCCTTTCACCCTATACCAAGTGGGATCCATTTTCGCAGAATCAATCGAGGATTTTAGACTCCACTCGATGCACTTTGTTCGTGTTCCCTGCATCGAAATCGTCTTTACATCGCAGTGTAATCAATCGCTTTACGTTCGTGCTCTTGAACGTCTGTATCATGTCCTTCAAGTTTTCGACTACAATCATTCTGTTAACTTTCGTGGTCCTAATTCGAGTTTATCTAGTTGGCTTTAGGGTTGATTCCTTCCAAGAGAACACAGGTCCGTCGAGGAGACAGTTCTGCGTGATCCGAAGACGTTTCCTCGACTAAGAGGGTCATTTTATTGGCAAAAAATCAAGATCTGCACCCAAGCGTACTTTTTTAAATCTAGCCATAGGGATATCTAATTCAATCAGTCTACCTAAAAACTGACCAATATCACTTAGCGAGTATCCTTATAAAATTGTCTGTTATTTCTGCTGTCGCTACTTTTCACCGTTTTGCCGAATATCTTCGTTTATACTCTTGTTTATGTTTTCTGTCTGTTTAATCTTGTGTGATTCGAGGATGTTGCTTTTCTTTTTTTCAAATTTATCGAAGGGTATGGGTGAGCCACATAAAAAGCGGCTGTTATAGACGCTGTTTTAGATTAGCCCAGTTTAGCGCTCCGATTCGAAGAAGGTTACAACGTGTATTGTCTGGGCGCTAATGGACTTAGTTGTTACAATGAAATATTGGCTAATGAATCTCCCCCACAGTTTAGTAGATAATGCACAGTGCTTCATGGATATCCACCATTCTCAAAAGCGACGGCTGTTCTCCACTGGCAACCTTCGTTGGTGAAAGGTTAACGCGGTCAAGTGATTAAAGAGCAACGTGAAATCGAAGCTCCTGGTGTCCAGCTGAACTTCTTGAGGTCTTCGTGACTCTGTATCTGGGTCTAAATGGGGCTGCTTTCAGGTGGCTGAAAACCCGGTTCCAATGGATTCCTTTTTGTTACTTCCAGACTAGAGTACAATTTGTGCGTCTGCTCGGTAGGGCCCTTTGTGAAGATTTCTCACTTCAGATGGATGCACTGTTTTTCGAAGTTGTGAGCACCTTGCTTTCGAAAAATTTTTGCATTGTTTCGGGCTTCTTAAATAGACGTTCTTTCCAACCTTTGCTAAGGTGTATGTCTCCTGCTACAGAAGAACCTTACACAGTTATCCTGACGAGCAGATTCCTGATGATGTTCACTGTTTGGGGAACTTGTGTATTGTTGCTTTCGTCCCGCGAATATCAACAAAAGATTAATGAGGATTTTGAGGCTATTCCCAAAGTGTAAACGGGTTTTCCAACTGAAAAAATTCCAAGAATTCATTTTTGGGATGTTTCGGTCAGGTTAGATCTATTTTCCTTCAGAAGACAGTTTTTTCTCGAATGCTATCAAACAGCGCACACTGATGTCTTCTCGAATGGTGATGAAACGTCTGCAATTCAATTACCAAGCTCGGCGAATAGGTCAACAGCCAGCCGGTCAACACTAATAACGACGTGTCTTCCTAAAGTTACTGATTGCCTCGCGTGACTCTTTCTTCGTTTGTATGCGGTTTTCACAGAAAACGATTGAACATGGCCCGTGTCTAATATAGACGTCGGCACGCTTCTACGGATATATCGGCTGCTTTGTGGCACTAATGAACACTCGGTGCCCAATTTTTTCATACAGCTCGCCGTCAGCATTTGTTTTATAGCGATTGCAAGGTTATAAATTTATAAAGATTAGGCTGAACGCGGTTATCGCCACCCATCCGGTCGTAACTAGAATCTACGCTGTTTGGTTCTTTCCTGCCTCTTTGTTGGATAGTTTTCAACCGCTATTTCATTAGTCTGAATTTTCGTCTCCCTAATTCCTACTTTTTAATTATTATCCTCTCCTGTTGTCGCTTGCAGTGGTGGAATTAGTGTACTGGCTCACTCTAAATAACGTCTGACTGACGAATGTCGGCTTGCGTTTAGCGTCCATTCACCTAGTCCCTTGAGATTTCATGTTCTGTTGGACCACTAAACTCGGAAGATTATCTGATGAATTCCAGTCGTTTCTGGATGGCGCATGCCTGAATTCCTCCTATCGATCTTTGCTATCGCACATGTGATTCATTTGCTAGTCTTCCCATGATGATGTTTTTAATTTTTGTTCGAAAACACGCATCACTAACCAGCACACATGGTTCATCCTCAAACATGCCCTAAGATGAGTTCACCGTAGGGAACTGTCTGTGTTTACTTTGCATCCGGAATGACAAGCGGTACCTTATGAATCAGCAGAGTGATGGGCGGCTGTCTGCATCTCTCAGCTTATTTGTTGGTGTTTGTCCGGCTGTTCGATGGTACCTACCAAACGGAAGCATGCACTGCATGTAGACGGAACCTGAGCGTAATGCCTATTCGTGCAAAACCTATGAGGTTCGGTGGTTTGTTGAACGCTGAAACCAAGCGTTGGGGCGTAATTCCTTCCGAGAACTCTCTCCATAAAAGTTTACCACTTAGCGAAATACACTCATTTGCATATTAGTTTGGCTTTCACGGGAACTCACCTGAATCCCATGTAAGTCTGTCGTTTATGCTGTTCTTCTACACCTAAGGAGGGTGGAACCGATCGTGCGCTGTTATGAGTGAGTCCAAGCAAGATCTTACCTTGAATCTGTGGGTCTCTATGGGAATAGGTATACACAGGCAAGAGAAATTATGAGTGAGTCCAAGCAAGATCTTACCTTGAATCTGTGGGTCTCTATGGGAATAGGTATACACAGCCTTCGTAAGAGAAAAAAAGTGCGGTGCTTTTCATAGTCACATGCTGTCATACTTTCTGATGGTCGACGGCGTTAAAAGGTGCTTTTAGAATAGCGATCGGTGGTCGTCCAGATAAATGGCACAGTTCAAGCATTTGTCGCAAAGTGAAGATGTGATCCAGGTTGATTCTCATGAATCACACTCTCTAGAGGACAATAATAGGACAATAACCGAGAAAACCCTGACGAATATGATGAGCAGACTTATAACTCGACATGATGTTACATCTCATAGAAGCACTGTCTAAACTATAATCTGCTTGGTATGGTTGAATTACCCTCCCTTTTGGGCTTTGAA